CAAATTCCCAAATTCCCAAATTCCCAAATTCCCACATCTCCCAATTCCCACGTCCCCCAATTCCCATATCCTCAAATTCACAAATTCTGAAATTTTCACAATCCTAAATTTCTACATTCTCAAACTCTGTAATTTCCAAATTTCCAAATTTCTGATTTCCCAACTTCCCAACTTTCCAAATCTCCTAATCTCCAAATTTCTAAATCCCCCAATCCTCAACTTTCCAAATCTCCTAATCCCCAAATTTCTAAATTCCCAATCCTCAACTTTCCAAATCTCCTAACCTCCCAATTTCTAAATTCCCAAACTCTCAACTTTCCAAATCTCCTAACCTCCCAATTTCTAAATTCCCAAACTCTCAACATTCCAAATCTCCTAACCCCAAATTTCTAAATTCTCACCTTCCCTAACCTCCAAGTTTAAAAATTCCCAAAGTTTCAACTTCCGCCATCTCACATATCTTGCCACGATAAAATGGCGGCCACCATTCGCCAAACTATCTAACTTTCTGTCTCCACTATCGTTTCTCTCGCGTTACTAATCTCGCCAAGACATCGACTGACGACAAAAACATTATTTTTCAAGTTCAAAAAGAAACTCAATAGAAAATAATCTTCTACTAACAAGTTCGAAAAGATCTTCTACTAACAATTTTCAATGTAGGTTTCACGAATCGATTTCGCGTCAATCAACCTTTACAACGGTTTACAATTCGCGAGATCGCAGAAATTTTCCGTTGTACGAGATTATCGACTCGTGCTCCTTGTCTGCTTACTACCTTATCACCTTTAATCTGTTTTCATTTCAGTTTTTCTGTGAGAGTTTGGAGATATATGTATTTTAATCAGTTAGAACACTAAAACGGAGAGAAAAAGTGAAAATAATTTATGTAATACTCGATTTAATATATACATCGTTTTTCCTTCGGACTAGAATAGATTATCGATTGAATGTCCTTCGGAAAATGATTCATTGTAAATTACGAAGACTTCGAATGCTAATTTCTGCTTTATTTTTGAGATTTGATGTAGCTTTGCTGGATTAGTTTTGGGAATTTTGTGACTGGAGAGAGTTTGGATGAGATTGGTGTTTGAATTTAATTGGAGTTCTGGTAATTTGGTAATTTGAAAACTTAGGAATTTTGGGATATGAGAATTTGGATATATGTGAATGTATGAATATGTGAACATATGAACATGTGAGCATATGAACATGTGAGTATATGAACATGTGAACATATGAACGTATGAACATGTGAACGTATGAACATGTGAATGTATGAACATATAAACATATGAACATATGAATATGTGAACATATGAACATATAAACATATGAACATATGAATATGTGAACATATGAACATATGAACACGTGAACATATGACCATGTGAACATAGGAACCTGTGAATATGTGAACATGTGAACATATGAACATGTGAATATGTGAATATATGAACATATGAACATATGAACATGTGAATGTGTGAATATGTAAATATTCACGTACGTCGATTTATGTGAATATGTGAATATACGAATATGTGAATATGTAAATATTCACGTACGTCGATTTATGTGAATATGTGAATATGTAAATATTCACGTACCTCGATTTATGCAAATATGTGAATATGTAAATATTCACATATGTAAATTTATGTGAATATGTAAATATTTGACCATGTGAATATGTGTAGATACGAACTTGTGAGCATATAAACATGAAAACATGAAAACATGTGAATATATGCTTATATGTGAATATGTGAATATATGAATATATGAATATATGAATGGGTACATATGTAAATATACGAATATATGAATGTGGTAAGTCTGACCCCTCATAAATCACAAAATAAAAAAAATAAATAGTTCGTTAATATGACCCCTAAATAAACAAAATGACTTTCCTTAAAACTAATCAAAATAATGACGAAACCGAGAAGTTTTTCCTCTTACCCTTTTCCTGCAGCCGTCCGCCAAATTTGCGAAAGAGTTAAGTTATATTGACGAGTACACAAACGATCGATGGCTGGAATTCTCTGCGTTAATTCGTCACGGTATTTTATCACGCCGACTGATAACAGGTCGAGAAACTTTCCGTAGGAAAGTGTAATTAAAAAAAATAGGTAATTACAAAATATGACATTGCTCGATATAATTAAAATCAAGGTTGAGAACGCGACACTTGTCACGTATGTACATTACCTATGTACAATATTAACCAATAAAAATAGAATACGAGTGTTTACAGAATTTTCCACAAAGAGTATATCGAAATATCTTGCCAAGACACACAATTGTTCTGGCAAGAATTATTTCTAAAAATTCACGAGCTGAATAACAGGTTTCGATTAGCGATATCTTCGCCAGACGAAAAATAATGCAATAATAATTAAATGTCAATGAACCATTTATCTGAATTCTGTGATCAAATAAAATAACGAGAAGTGATTGTATTTTGATAAAACAAATATAAATATATGTGGAAGTCTTATGGTGTCCATTTAAAACTTAAATTATTGGGAATTTGGGAATTTGGGAATTGGGGAGTTGGGGAATTGGGGAGTTTGGGAATTGGGGAGTTGGGGAATTGGGGAATTGGGGAATTGGGGAGTTTGGGAATTGGGGAGTTGGGGAGTTTGGGAATTGGGGAATTGGGGAATTGGGGAGTTGTGCAATTGGGGAGTTGGAAAATTGGGGAATTGGGAAATTGGGGAATTGGGGAGTTGTGGAATTGGGGAGTTGGGGAATTGGGGAGTTGTGGAATTGGGGAGTTGGAAAATTGGAGAATTGGGAAATTGGGGAGTTGGGGAATTGGGGAATTGGGGAATTGGGGAATTGGGGAATTGGGGAATTGGGGAATTGGGGAATTGGGGAATTGGGGAATTGGGGAATTGGGGAATTGGGGAATTGGGGAATTGGGGAATTGGGGAATTGGGGAATTGGGGAATTGGGGAATTGGGGAATTGGGGAATTGGGGAATTGGGGAATTGGGGAGTTGGAAAATTGGGGAATTGGGAAATTGGGGAGTTGAGGGAATTTGGGAATTTGGGAATTTGGGAATTTGGGAATTTGGGAATTTGGGAATTTGGGAATTTGGGAATTTGGGAATTTGGGAATTTGGGAATTTGGGAATTTGGGAATTTGGGAATTTGGGAATTTGGGAATTTGGGAATTTGGGAATTTGGGAATTTGGGAATTTGGTAATTTGGTAATTTGGTAATTCGGGAATTTGGGAATTTTGTAATTGGGAAATTGGGAAATCGGGAAATCGAGAAATTGGGGAATTGGAGGATTGGGGAATTTGGGAATTTGAAAATTTAGAGACTTTAGTAATTTGAAAATTTGTCAATTCAAAAATTTGAACATTTGAAAATTTGAGAATTTAATAATCGTACACTAAAATATCAGTTACCATAGTTATAAGTTGAACCGATATCCATTTATAGCGCAGTTAATGATAAAAATAATTCCTCTCAAGTCACAAGTATGAAGAAACAATAAAAATGACCACAAAATAGATACGAAGATCATGCTCATACTTCAGTGACCATTCCGAGTACCACAATCAATCGCGAATTCTTACCGTGACGTTATCACGTTACGCAAAACAACATATTGTTATCTCCAATTATTATTGTGTAATATTATCTATCAAATTTCACAATGAGCTTGTCAAAAGTGATCGAAATCCCAAAATTTCTACTATATGAAACACTTATAACTCGGTGTAGTTGTCTTCTTGTCTATTTCAGTATAAATAGAAAGATAATTGTTGTCCGATAATAAATTATCGCGGACTTAAATTACATAAAAGAGTATCGTAGTTTCATTTCTGGAATAGCGATGACCTGAAATCGTTACTGAAAGACAAAGAAAACGAAAAATTTAATAATGGCTGATAGACCTAAATATCACAGTTCCAAAATTACCATATTCGCAAATTTCCAAACTTTCAAATTCCCAAATTTCCAAATTTCCAAATTCCTAAATTTCCCAATTCTTCAATTTCCCAATTTCAAAATTTCCAAATTTCCAAATTCCTAAATTCCCCAATTCTCCAATTTCCCAATTTCCCAATTTCCCAATTTCCTAAATTCCTCAATTTCCCAATTTCCCAATTCCCACCCAACTTCCTAAATTCCCCAATTCCCCAATTTCCCAATTTCCCAATTTCCCAGTTTTCCAAATTCCTAAATTCCCAAATTCCCAAATTCCCCAAGTCCCCAATTTCCCAATTTCCCAATTTCCCAATTCCCAAATTCCTAAATTCCTAAATTCCCCAATTTCCCAATTTCCCAGTTTTCCAGTTTCCCAGTTTCCCAGTTTCCCAGTTTCCCAGTTTCCCAGTTTCCCAATTTCCCAATTCGCAAATTCCTAAATTCCAAAATTTCCAAATTCCCCAATTCCCCAATTCCCCAATTCCCCAATTCCCCAATTCCCCAATTCCCCAATTCCCCAATTCCCCAATTCCCCAATTCCCCAATTCCCCAATTCCCCAATTTCCCAATTCGCAAATTCATAAATTCTCAAATTTCCAAATTCCCCAATTCCTAAATTTCCTCTATCCCCAAATTTCACAAATATCCCAAATCCCAAAGTCTCTAAATTCCCAAACTCCCAAACTCCCAAATTCCAAAACTCTGAAATCCCATAATCTCCAACTGCATAAACTCATAATCCCGCAAACGCCCATATCCCTGAGTAGCCATCTCAAATTCCCAAATATTCAAATATCCATTCCAAGCTACAAACTTCCTCCAGCGTTCCTACTATCACATCCAAAATTCTTTTCCCCATCTCATGGCAAATTGCCCAGATTCGGATTTGTTTTCAACATTCTATACATACTAGAATCGTCCCCTCGATCAATCAAAATCGCGCGCCTTCCTAGTTGCGGAGCGCGGAGTCGACTGTCCGCAGGGGTGGGGGCAAAGTGTTTTAATATCGCTTTAGGACGAAGAGGACGATGCGCGCGCAGCCCCCCGCCCACGCTCCGCCAATAGGCGAGCTCTATATATGACGTCACCGGAGTAGGTCGCGGCACTCAGCTGACGGCTGCATTCAGAAGTCGAGGAACCGTAACTTGCGATTATCCAAAAGTTCAGGTACGATCTCGTTGACTTCGCCGTTTCAGAAAACGCGCACGTGGACGTTGCACGATAACACAACGTTTTACGGGCCGTTCTTCTTCTCTTTTATCAGTCGTTAACGTTTCATGCCGCATTGCTCGTTTAGACGTACGTGTTTATTGCGTAATTCGTTCAAGTTCGTTTCTCTTCTTCTCTCTTTACATTTTTATTTCGTTCAAAGGATATTTTAGTGGGATTAATGGTTATTTTAGTGGGGTTTATTAAAGGATATTTTTGAAGTGAATACGAGGCTGTTTTTCGGATTCGTTTGTGATATATGAGCGTTCGATTTTTGCGCGGGAAAATTTGTTCGGAGCAGTTTTGAATTTATTAAAATTTCTTTGATTGCTTTTTTGTAAAATTTCAAGTGTTAGTGTTGCAAATTGTTTTTGTATTTTTAGGAAGTTTAATTGAAATTCGAGGAAAACTTGACTTAGTATATTAAATATTATTACAATTTTTGTGAATAATTCTGTGTGTACTATGTCGTAGTTAACATACTTTTCCACTCAGTAAATTTTATTAAAAAGTGACTGTTTTTTAATAAAATTTATGATCGTACTTAACTTGTCAGTAGTTGTATATTTTTTGCACAGTCTTCTATTAGTTTACTTGATACGCTGGATTAGAAAGATAAATCATTTATCTGTCCAGTATTTCTGCAATAATTCTATTTCAAGGCGACTAAACGTTATAAATAACATTTTAACATGTTTTTGCAGCTTCTACAAAAACAGCATTGTAGACACGTCACAACATGATTTCAATCTAACTAATCATGTGTCGTGATTGCTTTGAAAAGTACACACGTGAAGTTTAAGTCGAATGATTTTGTCTTGTAATCTCGTTATCTTTCAAATTTAATCGTCTCGATTTCCAAGTGTTTTGATATTAAGTAAAGATTGAAAACGAAGATGAATTTTGAAGATGAATTTATTTCATGGGATTTACGGATGGAACGCACTGAATTACTACTTACGCGTAGTAATCACGTGCACTTATCAGCCGCTGGAAAATTACTTATCCCATGGGGAATGGCCGATATACGAGCTCTAATGAAAAGATTGTCATTCACAGTTTATTCTCCGTTGATTTGCCTTTCGTGCTCTGACGTTATTTTTCACGAAACATTAATTCACAAAACAGTATTAATACAAATTCATTTTTCATTTGTTTTTGACTAATTCATTTTTTGGCACACGGTTTCTTGCACTGATTTTTAGATTGACTTTTTGTGACGTGAGATAAATTTCTTGATAACGCGGCAGTACCTGAACTGCAAACAAACTGTTTGGATCCAAAAAGTTCCAAAAAGGAGGCGTCGTAAATTAAGTTAAAAAATTGGATTTATAGCAGTCTGCAAAAATCTAATCTGTTTTTAAAAATATGAAGTCGAGTATATAGAAATGTGACACCATCGCGAGAGGATTTAATTCAAATATTCCTTCTAGAGGGATATTGATTCAAATTTTGTTTTTTAGAAATTCAGAAGGAAGAATCATTTTTTAAGATGGTTGACGCTTTGGAGCAGATGCCGAAGTCGGAGACGATTCGTCTTCGAGAACGTCATGTTGGGTAAATATTAAATTGAATATATATTCCATTTGTTATTATCAGTAATATATGTATAAATTAAGTTAAAATATAAATGAAATGATTCGGTTTATAGGCAAGCTTGCAAATTATTTTACAAATCGAATCCTTTGAAGATTGTCAGAGCTGAAGGACAATACATGTATGATGAAAAAGGAAATCGTTATTTGGACTGTATCAACAATGTTGCTCATGGTAAGAAAACAGTGCAAATCTTAAATTGCTATTATAATTATTTTTACAAAGAAATTTGAAATTGTACAAGATTCAATAATACTGAAGATGGTAACTGTATATAATTGGAGGATATAGTGTGGTCGTAAAGTTCATCAAACACAAAAATACTTACATGAACTCCAAATACAGAAATACTCAAGATGGTGACCATATATAGAGTTGGAGGATATAGTGTGGTCGTAAAGTTGATCAAACACAAAAATACTTCCATGAACTTCAAATACAAAAATACTGAAGATGGTAATATACAGTTGGAGGATACAGTGTGGTTGTAAAGTTGATCAAACACAAAAATACTTACCTGAACTTCAAGTACAGAAATACTGAAGATGGTAACCATATAGAGTTGGGAGATATAGTGTGGTCGTAAAGTAGATCAAACACAAAAATACTTACATGAACTCCAAGTACAGAAATACAGATTTCAATGATATAAGTAAATCATACTAAACATAATTGCGATATGAACCTTTTAAATAATATGAGCAATGAAATACTTTTAAATAATATGATTTAAAGAAAGAATGATGGTTTGGTGACATAAGCAGTTTGAGACTCGTACAGGCTCGTGCGATGCAAATTTAGTGTCAGCATTTTGGTTGCAGTCTGAAATTTAACTCTTTGCACTCCGAAAGTTTATTTTGTCATTTAAAATGTCTCCTCAGAGGGAATAGTGGAGTGCAAAGTGTTAAAGTATTATAATTCACGACCATACTGTATCGATTTGTGCAATTAAAATTTAGTTGCAACTGATGAGATTAAATGAGAGAACAGAATGATTCTATCTTACCAGTTACTATCTTTTAAAATAGCAGTACAAAATAACCATACCTCACCAAATAGTATTTCTTAAACAACAATGTAGAATAACTATACCTTACGAATTAGAACCTCTTAACTAACAGTATAAGCTAACCTTACCTTACCACTTAGTGTTCCTTACATGACGATACAAAATAACCATACCTCACCAAATAGTATCTCTTAAACAACAGTGTAGAATAACCATACCTTACCAATTAGAACCTCTTAACTAACAGTGCAAGCTAACCTTACCTTACCACTTAGTGTCCCTTACATGATAATACAAAATAACCATACCTCACCAAATAGTATCTCTTAAACAGCAGTGTAGAATAACCATACCTTACTAATTAGAACCTCTTAACTAACAGTGCAAGCTAACCTTACCTTACCACTTAGTATCCCTTACATGGTAGTACAAAATAACCATACCTCACCAACTACCATCACCTCAGAATTAAATAAACAAATTTGATTGCAGTGGGTCACTGTCACCCGACAGTAGTGCGAGCCGGCCAAGAGCAAATGGCGCTGCTCTCCACGAACAACCGCTTCCTCCACGACAACTTGGTCCTCTGTGCTCGTCGCTTGACATCGCTCCTTCCAGAACCCTTATCCGTCTGCTTCCTGGTGAACTCCGGAAGCGAAGCGAACGACCTCGCTCTTCGTCTAGCTCAGACTCACACGAAGAACAAAGACATCATCACTCTGGACCAGTAAGTCACAAGGATCTGAGAGCTAACAAAATTTCTGGGCCCAAAAGAACCTGGAAGCACCTGGTGCCTTCAAAATATTTCACAGACAAAAGCATGATTCCCTTTTAACGCTCAGAACGTCCACAGAGGAATATGTTTCAGGATGTTTGCCAGACAACAGCCGATCGACTGACTAATCGAAAGGGTTTTCTTTTTTGCCTGTTTACAGCCCGTTCATTCGAGAACGAGAGATGGAACGACGCATGGGACGCCATTGAATTGCTAGCAAGCAAAGTGCAACGGGGAGACAAGATATTGTCGAGTTAAGATATTGTCGTTTTAGGTGACACGTAGGTGCCACGAATGACATATACGACATGAAAGTTGGATTTGAAGAGTTCATTTTATTGATATGTTAGAAGGATTTGGAGGGACACGAACAAGCGGATGAATGACAGTGAAGCGAAGAGCGAGATGTGGACGAAGGGGACTTTGATAGCTTGAACTACAATTATTATTCTGATCGCATTAGGTGACTTTATATTCCTTAGAGAGATTAACCTTTTGACTAGTAATTAATGACATAATGTTCTTGTTACGTGGGATAGGGGTAGTAATAATTATGTATTGATCAAAGTATCAAGGCAGAGGAAGCTTGTAATGTTGAGGAGTCACGGTACCATTGCTTTTGCCGCCATTTTGATTTCTGGGAGTCGACAAGTGATCTACAATTAAATTTGAAGATTTGGGAATAGGTCATTCTGGGAATTTTTAAATTTGAGGAATTGATAAAGGCAATTTTGGAATTTTTTATATTTGAGAATTTGGTGTAGACAATTTTGGGAATTTTTAAATTTAAGGATTTGGTATAGGCAATTTTGGAAATTTTTAAATTTGAAGAGTAGGTATGGGCAATTTTGGGAATTCATAAATTTGAGGATTTGTTATAGACAATTTCTGGAATTTTTAAATATGAGGATTTAGTACAAGCAATTTTTGGAATTTTTAAATTTGAGAATTTGTTATAGGCAATTTTTAGAATTTTTAAATTTGAGGATTTGTTATAGACAATTTTTAGAATATTTAAATTTGAGGATTTGTTATAGACAATTTTTAGAATCTTTAAATTTAAGGATTTATTATAAACAATTTTTAGAATCTTTAAATTTGAGGATTTGTTATAGACAATTTTTAGAATTTTTAAATTTGAGGATTTGTTATAGACAATTTTTAGAATCTTTAAATTTGAGGATTTGTTATAGACAATTTTTAGAATCTTTAAATTTGAGGATTTATTATAGACAATTTTTAGATTCTATAAATTTGAGGATTTGTTATAGACAATTTTTAGAATCTTTAAATTTAAGGATTTATTATAAACAATTTTTAGAATCTTTAAATTTGAGGATTTGTTATAGACAATTTTTAGAATCTTTAAATTTGAGGAGCTAGTACGAACAACTTCAATGTAGCTAGTAATTTGCAACTTTGTGAATTTCTAAAATTGAAATTCAGCAAATTTTGAAATTCATAAATCATCTAATTCATAAAAACCGTAGTCAAAGGGTTAAAAAACATGCCAACGTAAAAATATTTCAAAAGAAAAAGACACTATGAACAATAGAATTTCTAACAAACATAACTTATGTATTCAAGCTACGTCCCCTTTGTCTTGCATCGACGCAGAAGCTTATATCGTGAAGCATTTGTGTTTTGTGAAATCATCAACGTACCTTTCTGTTTCTTTTTGTTTGTCGAACACGTGTGTTGAAGAATCGACCACGAAGAGGAGAAAATAACATTTCCAGGAAGCTTTGACATTATTTCTGTTGGAAGACTATCGGCCATGGGCAACGTTGTGAACATTGCACGCTTAGAGTTTAAAAGCATTGTAGAAGGTACACGGAAGCGGGAGGTAACTCTCGTTCAACGTTGTTCTTTCTTGGTTTTAGCGCTTATCATGGCCATTTGACCTCGATGATCGATATATCGCCGTACAAGTTCAACAAGCCGAACGGTCCTGGAAAGAAAGACTGGGTTCATGTGGTGAGACATATTTTATTAATAATAATTACACTTTACGTATATTACGTTTTGTCAATTTTTTAGATTATTGACTTGTAGATAGATATATCTTAAATAGCTAGATATATCTTCGGGAATATATATTAGGGCTAATATATAATATTCAATTTATATATATTATGTTATAATTATATATATTCGATGTATATCAGATATGCATATATATTAGATATACATAAGAATAATATACATATACATATATTCAATTTAGAATTGTATTTAGTTGTGTATTTTAAATGTGGGATAGCTGACGTGATTCTGAATAAGATTTCCCTTTACAAAAATGGGATTATTTTAGAGTAAAAAAATGTTTATTACGCAGGCACCCTGTCCGGACGTATATCGAGGAAAGTATCGCGAAACTGACTACCCCGGTGAAGATCTAGGTGTAAAGTATGCCAACGACGTGAAAAATATTTGTCAAAATCTGAAAAATCAAGGGAAAGGTGTTTGCGCTTTTATCGCGGAAAGCTTGATGTCGGTTGGTGGACAAATTCTACCCCCAGAGAACTATTTCAGAAACGTCTACAAGTATGTACTTTGTAATTTTTCGCTTATATCGAATTATTATCACTGCACTGCGGTTAATGCAAAATATAGAATATAAAAAAAAATCAAGTGTCGTTATTGCAGATTATGTTTTACAATTTTGCAAATTCATTATGATAATTTATAATTATTTAATTAAGCTGTTTTTAGTTCGATTAATGCAAAATACAAAATATAAAAAGAGTCAAGTATCATTATTGCAGATTATATTTTAACATTTTGCAAATTCATTATGATAATTTATAATTATTTAATTAAGCTGTTTTTAGTTCGATTAATGCAAAATACAAAATATAAAAAAAGTCAAGTGTCATTATTGCAGATTATATTTTAACATTTTGCAAATTCATTATAATTGACATTCACATCAACTATCTTAGAGTGATATTTCATTCATCAGATACGATATTTAATTATTTAAGAGTGCATAATAAATGATCTCTCGAAGATCAAGTTTTCTTTCGAATAAGAATTAGTTGTAATAATTAATAGTAACTAGTAATAATTTACCAATAGACACGTTCGCGAAGCTGGAGGTGTCTGCATCGCCGACGAAGTGCAAGTTGGATTCGGAAGGGTTGGCAGTCACATGTGGGCTTTCCAACTTTATGGAGAAGATGTCATCCCAGATATCGTCACCGTAGGAAAACCCATGGGCAATGGCCACCCCGTAGCAGCTGTTATCACCAACCCAACCATTGCTGGAAGTTTCAAAGACACCGGAATCGAATATTTCAATACGGTAATTTATAAAAGAAACCTTAAAGAATATTAATCAGACATAAATCGACATTAATCGAAAAAATTGCTTCCTAAATTAGAGTCATTTGTTCGATGAATTGACTTCATTTTATTAGGAATAAATTTGAATTTTATTCATTATGCAAGTTGCATAAATTTATTGGAGAATAACTTGTCGAGTTTGTTTGTCAAACGCGTCACGTAACTAATCTAATCACAGTTGCAATATAAGAACAAAAAAAGAATGCTGAAATGTTATGTCAATACTACATTCAGTGATCTTTGGTTATAGAAATTATAATTGAAGCTGAATTTCATATTGAAGTGCATTGAAAATTTGAATAATTTTTGTTATAATTGAAGGAGTAGTACGTCACGTGTTGCACTTGTCTGACTATAGCAAAGGGGTTGAATTACAAGATTTAAATTATATCATTCAAATTTTACACTTTACCATTTACATTATAAAAATTAAGCTACACAATTTATTATTTAAATTATAGAAGGTCTCACTTAAATTATGAAGTATAAACTACACAACTTATTATGGAAATCACAAAATTCACATAATCCACCAACATAATTTACTAGCATAATTTACAGAAACATAATGTAGTAAACTCTTGTCCTTTCAAAATAGATTTAAGTCCAACAACCTTCTAAATTAAATCTTGATTCAAAATTCCAAAAATCCAAAATTCAACGCAGCAAAATTACGTGTTGGAATTGCAACGCGTTGAAATTTTGACGCATCAAATTTGCAACGCGTCGAAGATTCAACGCATCAAAGTTGCAACGCGTGGAAAATTCAACGCGTCAAAATTTCTACTCGTTGCAATTACAACACATCCAAAATTTCAACGCATCAAAATTACAACGCGTCCAAAATTACAACGCAATGAAATTGCAACGCGTTAGAACTGCAACGTGTTGAAATTCCAACACATCAAAGTTGCAACGTGTCGAAAATTCAACGCGTCAAAATTACAACGCGTTGGAATTGCAACGCGTTGAAATTTCAACGCATAGAAGTTGCAACGCTTCGAAGATTCAACGCATAGAAGTTGTAACGCGTGGAAAATTCAACGCGTCAACCCGCACTAACCTTAGAAATTAAATTGAAGTCCAATAACCTAAACAAAAAATCAAAAACCTCTCAAAAATCCTTTCCAAAAAATTATTTATTAAATACTAAACTAATTCAAATATCAAATTCTCCCAAAAAACAGTATGGCGGCAACCCAGTATCCTGCGCCATAGCAAACGCAGTGATGGAGGTAATAGAGCGCGAGAATCTTCAAGAGAACGCTTTGAAGGTTGGCAAATATTTGATGTCGGAATTGAGGAAGTTGGCGAAAAGGCGAAAAATCATCGGTGATGTTCGAGGTGTTGGATTGTTCGCTGGAATCGAATTAGTTCGTGACAGGATCAAAAGGATACCGGCGACTGCTGAAGCGAAGCATGTGGTTAGTAGGTTGAAGGATAAGAAGATCCTGGTGAGCAGCGATGGTCCTGATGACAATATTCTGAAACTGAAACCACCGATGGTGTTCACGGTTGAGAATGTGGATCACCTTATTTCTGTGTTAGATGAGATCCTCGAGGAAGTGGATATTGGTATTGAAGAGGTAATTTCATTTATGATCCGATAGAAAATATTTTCAAGAGTGTACATATTTTGTTCACACAGTATACATATTTTGATAGACTATGGTTGTAAGAGCAGTCAAAAATTTTATAAGAGTAAAAATTGTAACGAGATGAAATTGCAATGAGATAAATTTGTAATGTCTTGAAAGTCCAATGAATCAAAAATATAGTGGATCAAAAATACAACGCTGACAAAATATAGTATCTTAAAATTAAATAGATTAGAAATTTTAATACATAGAAGTAATAATGAATTAAAATTGCAATGTGGAATAGTAACAGGTCGAATAATGAGTAGAAATTTATACATAAAGAAATTGCAACGAGTAGAAATTAGAACGCATCCAAAATTCAGCGTGTCGAAAATTCAATACAACGAAATTGCAACGCGTTAGATTTACAACGTTTCGGAATTGCAACGTGTTAGAATTACAACGTTCCGGAATTGCAACGCATTAGAATTACAACGTTTCGGAATTCCAACGAGTAGAAATTGCAACGAGTAGAAATTACAACGCGTCCAAACTTCAGCGCTTTGAAAATTCAACGCATCGAAATTGCAACGCGTTGAAATTGCAGACTGTCCAAATTTCAACTCAAAGAAATTGCAACGCGTTCAAAATTCAACGCATCGAAATTGTAACGCGCTGGAATTGCAATGAGTAGAAATTTCAACGCAACAAAATTGCAACGTGTTGGAATTGCAACGAGTAGAAATTACAACGATCTGGAATTGCAATGAGTAGAAATTTCAACGCATCAAAATTTCAACGCGACCAAAATTCAACGCAACAAAATTGCAACGCGTTGGAATTGCAACAAGTAGAAATTACAACGCTCTGGAATTGCAATGAGTAGAAATTTCAACGCATTAAATTTGCAACGCGTCCAAAATTCAACGCATCGAAATTACAACGCGTTGAAATTGCAATGAGTAGAAATTTCAACGCATCAAAATTTCAACGCGACCAAAATTGCAAAGCGTTAGAATTGCAACGAGTAGAAATTACAAAGCGCTGGAATTGCAGTGAGTAGAAATTTCAACGCATTAAATTTGCAATACCTCTAAAATTCAACGCATTAAAATTACAACGCGCTGAAATTGCAATGAGTAGAAATTTCAACGGATTAAATTTACAACACGTCCAAAATTCGACGCATCGAAATTGCAACGCTTTGGAATTGCAATGAGTAGAAATTTCAACGCATTAAATTTGCAACGCGTCAAAATTTCCACTCGTTGCAATTACAATGCATCCAAAATTCAACGCATCAAAATTACAACGCGTCAAAAATTCGCCTTATTAAAATTACAACGCGTCAAAATTTCTACTTGTCGCAATTTGAACGCATCAAAATTACACCAAATCGAAAGTACAACGCATCAAAATTACACCACATTGAAAATACAACACCTCTAAATTACAACTCTCCAAAATTTCAATGTATCAAAAAATACAACTCGTCCAAAAGCACCAAATCAAAAATATCAGCGTACTCTCTCTATATTCCCATTACATTTTAACACTCACCATCTTAATTCTCCAAGATTTCTCTCTAAAGAAGATACATTCTTGCAACTTATTGCATTACCCGATGATTAATGTAACAATATTGCAATCCCGTGAGAAAATGACACACTGATGAGTATGGAATGTCGTAATTTTACGAAACGAATGATATGTAGCAAGATTTTTTAGTCTGAATGGAACGAGAACGTCAGACTGTGCATCGAAAGAGTGATAAGAAGTTGCAATGTTCTAACAAACGCGTGTACTATTTTTTCGTTCCACGCCGGCATGTGCTTAGTGCTCGAACGTTAATTACCATAGAGATTAGTATTTTTATCGGGTTAATCACTGAGCGGATGTTTACGCAGTTTTATATTTTTCTTCATTCATGCGGATCTGCCTGTGGCTGTAGAATTAGATTTGGTTTTTTAAATTTTAAGATTGACATGTTTTTAGGTTCTTTAATTCTTCAATTGACACGTGTTTAGATTTTTAAATTTTTATGTTAATTTGTTTTTAGATTTTTTAATTTTTAGATTTTTCAATTTTTAAGTTTACTCGTTTTTAGATTTCTAGATTTTTAAATTAACAAACTTTTAGATTTTTAGATTTTCAAATTGACACGTTTTTAGATTTTAAAATTTTCAAAATGACACGTTCTTAAATTTTTTTATTTTGAAGTTAACACGTTTTTAGGTTTTTAAATTTTCAAATTAATTCGCTTTTAGATTTTTAAATTTTTACGGTAACTTGTTTTTAGATTTTTCAATTTTTAAGTTAATACATTTTTAGATTTTCAAATTAACTCGCTTTTAGATTAAAAAAATTTCAAATCAACACATTTTTAGATTTGTAAGTTTTCAAATAACTATATTACTAAATTTCTATATTTTCAAATTACCGCATTGATATTTTGCAATTCTAAATTTTTATAATTCTGAATTTTCTAGTAATTTATGTTAATGCAATGCATAACTAATTTCTAGTAATTTGTGTTAACACAAATGTTCTTCCTATAAAAGAAACCGATTTTAGTAATAACTACTGTCATAAATATTTCTAAATATTATCTCAAACTCATAAACAAGTAAAACATAAGTACTCCAACGAACGTTAAATTAAAAAAAATATCTAACTAGACGAATTATTATTTGTTACAGAAATACGAGTCCCCACAGACGATCCTGAAAGCAACAATATCGCAAATGGACGTCGATAGAGATACCACTTGTACAAACGGGAAACCTCTTCTTGTACGCGCTACTTAATGATTAATTTAACGAAAATATTATGCACAAAACTATTTCGCGGGATACGTTTAAAGTATTATTATTAGTGAAATGAATGCTTACTATTTATGGTGTATACTATTAGTATAATTGTATGTACATGTAAATAACTGTAAATGAATAGAGAGGCACGTGATCATAGTTGAAAATTAAAATTCATGGTCAATGTTGCATGTTGAGAGATGATAATAAATATTATTTTTACATATATTTTTGTCTTGTTATTTGATCACCACTTTCATTTCCCTTATTTATCCATTTATTTATTTTTTTATATTTGTGATTTTTGAAATATTTTTTATATTTGTAGCACTTTATATTTGTATTTTATATTTTATATTTTATATTTTATATTTTATATTTTATATTTTATATTTTATATTTTATATTTTATATTTTGTATTTTATATTTCATATTTTATATTTTATATTTTATATTTTATATTTTATATTTTATATTTTACTTTATATTTTACTTTATTTTACTTTATATTTGTAGTACTTTCTACCTTTTGTATTATTATTTGTTATTATTTACTTCTTTTTTATTTTTACTTCAAATGAATGAATTTGCGAAAAATATTTTTTTTTAGAATTGTACTATCTTCAAAATATTTTAGACATCTACAAATAATACAGCAAAATAATTCATAAATTTTGCAAATAATTCACTGGAGACTATAACAAAATATTCTAAAAAAAATAATAATTGAGAACCATAATATAAATAATTTCATATAATTTAATTAACTAAAAACTAGTGGTCCTTGCACAAAAATAATTTCTGACAATTAAACAAAAATTTTAAATAATTTCTCCTAAAAATTTATAGCAAAGAATAATTTAGTTATTTTAATTAATCTGTAAGCGGAAGTAGAAAGATTTTTCATTTCATACCGATTACACGAACGACCATTTAGAAATTATGAATGAAAGACACAAAGAGGAAAAATTAGCCACGTCGGATGCGAAAGCATTTCTAGTTCATTCTACATGTTTGTAAAATGTTATCTCTTGAACTTCTAACCCCACGTGCAGCTTCATCTGCATTTGATACATTGTAATCAACTATAGTAACGTTTATACTTCCTACTGTCTCATATTTTTTTTAGCGAATATCGTTAAATCAGTCTCAACACTTACATCGATGTACTTTTCACACATAGAAATGCTGTCTGTCCTCAAAAAAATTTTTCAGAATTTAATTCTGTGATTTTGGTGAACGTAAATGTTAACTGAAGTGATTTTTATATTTTTAGTCCTTAACCTACAATTTTCTAGCAGTTGCGTTATTTACTGGTCACTAATTATTTCTTCAACGTGAAAATAAATAAACAAAGAATTGAAAACTAGGTTTTGTGTTCAACCTAATGAAAAATTAGGTTTTGTAGTCTTTGATTGTGAAGATTACAATTTGAATTGTACTCAAAATTTAATTGAAATGAAAATACGAGTCTCGTTTGTCACATATGTATGTAGTGTGCGTCATAAGTGCGTCATGATATTATAGGACAAAGGGATAATATCTAACAAATTACTTTTATAAGTACAGACATTTTTGTTTGTAGACAAGTTTGCTATAATAAAGCATCACAACATTGAAAATAAAATTTGTTCAGATCTATTATATTTGTTACAGAGGCTCAAATAAAAAATTAAATAGTACGTATTACACTTTCAGTTGCATTTATTCAATACTTCATAAACAAGTATAGTGCTAAAGTAAAATAAAGTGTTATGTATTTTCAAAGAGATCCTAAAGTTTCAATAAATATTTTCAATCCATAGCTTTACTTAATTACTTTGTCCTACAATTTCATCTTTATCTACTTAGTTAGTTACTCTACTTTATATTTAAAAAAAAAACAAGTAATTTTGCAACGAGACAATACTCCACAAACAACACACATATATTACAAATTTTCAAAACAACCCTACAAAATTTTCAATAAACACTCTCCCTTGCCCTCGAAATGAAATAAAACCAAGTAGTTTTGCAATCAGGCAGAGCCTGTCTAAAACACAGTAGCATAAAAATAAGAAAGTAAGAGCAAAGGAAGTTCTGACCCGATGTCAACTTATCAACTGGCTACAGTAGATTGAAAAAAAGTCAGAGTGACCTGTTGTGGTCGAGAATACCAAGTTCACAGAATCTTCCTACTAACTAGCAACTTTGCTGACTTGACACAAAGTAGGTATAAAAGCTCCAAACGACTGACCGCCTCGTCACTTTCTGGTGTGTGCTACGACTTTCAATATGTGGCTACCTTTGACACTCTTAGTGCTCGGTAAGTGAAAGCCAGTTATACTCGGACCGCCATTTTCCTTGCGCCGTTCGTAAGGAAAATGGCCGCCCGCTTTTAAAGACGTAGGTAGCGAATTCTAGATTTCAAGTTCTCTCTTTGAAATATTGTGAGTGAACTATTTTGTATTGAAAGACTATTAACACTAGTACTGTATTAATTTGTTAGTGGAGCTAGGGGTTGAATTTGTTTAAGTAGCTTGAAGATTTAATTTGATGTGAGATGAGTTTGACACGGGATTTATGTAATTCTAATTGGATCCAGTAGTTCGATAATATTTGAAAAGAATGTGGTTCGAATTCTATGCAATACTTTGATGAGATTCGAATTTGACGCGATCTAAATTTGACGGGGTGCAAATTCATCATGTACTGTATACATCATGGTCCAAGTTTGATAGAATCCGAATTCAACGCGATACAATTCCACACTAACCAATCTGACACCTTCTAATCCTATGTGCTGTTATCCTACAGTATTCTATGTAGCTTGACCACGTCCAATTCCACCTCATAGTCCCATCTATATCAATATCCAACATAGTCTACCAAACTTCTAACTATCTACCTATCTAACTATCTACCTATCTATCTACCCCATCGATACTAGCATACATTTAATTACCTATCCGTCTATTTCACAGCGGGAGTAGTATCCGCCGACTACCAACATGGCTGGAAGGTAGGCGACGAGTACACCTACCTGGTACGAAGTCGCACGCTCACTAGTTTGGACGTAAAATCCAGCCAGTACGCCGGTATCTTGATAAAGGGATTCCTCACGGTTCAAGCAAAGGACACCAACACGTTGATCGCGAAATTATGGAAGGGCCAATACAGTCGCATCCATAAAGAGCTACCCGAGGGCTGGGAAACACGGATTTCCGACCACATGTTGGAATTCCGTGACTTGCCCATAACGGAGAAGCCCTTCCAGATCATTCTGAAGCACGGAGTGATCGTGGACATGATCGTGGACAAGGACATACCCACCTGGGAGGTGAACTTGCTGAAGAGCGTGGTTAGCCAACTGCAGGTGGACAGCCAGGGGGAGAACATCATCAAGAGCCAGAACGTTCAGGTTCCGGATGATGATGAACCTTACGGATCGTTCAAGGTCATGGAAGACACCGTAGGAGGTAAATGCGAGGTGCTGTACGACATCACTCCGTTGTCCGATCACATGCTTCACACGAAACCCGAGTTGGTGCCCAAACCTGAACTGAAGGGAGATGGACAGCATATTGACATCATGAAAACGAAGAACTTCGACAAATGCGCGCAGAGGATGTCGTATCACTTCGGTATCACTGGACAGTCGAACTGGGAACCTGGTGCAAACAAGAATGGAAAATTCCTGTCGGTGAGTAATTATGACACATTTGGGTGCAACAGAGCTCTCTTTAGGTTCTCTAATTTGTATTCATAGAAACAAGGAACATAAAAATAACGAGAAACGTAAAAAATCTGTTACAGAAATATTCCACCAGTAGAATCGTCATCTCAGGAAATTTGAAACGGTTCACCATCCAAACATCGGTGACTACCAGTCAGATGTTCGTCACCCCAAGAATGTACGAAAACCACAAGGGAATCGTGGCCAGCAGGATGAACCTGACTCTGGGCAACGTTAACAAGATCTCGAATCCTCTGCCTTTGCCGAGGAACCCCGAATCTACTGGCAACCTGGTGTACGTTTACAGCAACCCGTTCTCGGACATGGAGGAACGCAGACCCAGCGACCGACGGGACTCCAAGCAGGACCTCGAATCCGACAGCATCAGCTCCCAGAGCTCCAGCGAGGAGATCAACAAGAACAAAATTAACCTTCTGAAGAATTCGGGCTCATCCAGCGCTTCCAGCAGCTCCATCTCCAGCAGCGAGGAACACAAGTTCTGGCAACCCAAACCCACGTTGCAGGATGCTCCGCAGAACCCACTGTTGCCCAACTACATTGGCTACAAAGGCAAATATATTGGAAAGTCCGGTGAAATCGACGTGATCAAGGCCGTCAAGCAGCTCGTATTCGAGATCGCTAACGAATTGGAGGACTCGACTCTTATGCCCACGCAAGAGACCCTAGAGAAGTTCAGCATTCTCACCAGCCTGATTCGCACCATGAGCAGGAGCCAGATAGAAGAGGTCGAGAACATTTTGCACCTCTCGTCGAACGAGCTGAAGTTCGACGACAAGACTCAAGCTGTCAAGCAGAACGCTTGGGCCGTATTCAGGGACGCCATCACGCAAGCTGGAACTGGACCTGCCTTCTTGACCATCAAGAACTGGATCGAAAAGAGGAACATCGGAACCTGGGAGGCTGCCGACATCTTGTCTGCGCTTCCGAGAACCTCGCGAACACCTACTGCCGAGTACATCAGGACCTTCTTCGTGAGTATCATTTAAACCTTACTAGCTCTACCAATCTAAACTCTATGAATACTAAAATCTGATGTCGTTTCTCCAGGAACTGGTCACCAATCCGAAAGTGATCAACGAGCCATTCCTGAACACCGCAGTGCTGATGTCCTTTACTGAATTGGTACACCAATCTCAAGTGGACGGCAAAAGCATCCACAACCTGTACCCGGTGCACACCTTCGGCCGCCTTACCTCCAAACACGATCAGACCCTCCTGCAGGAGTACATTCCATACTTGGCTGGAGAACTGAAGAAGGCCGTCAGGGAAGGTAATAGCGAAAGGATTCAGACGTACATCGTCGCTCTGGGCAACATCGGTCACCCCAAGATCCTCTCCGTCTTCGAGCCCTATTTGGAGGGCAAAGAACAGGTGACCGTCTTCCAGAGGACGTTGATGGTCGGCTCCCTGAGCAAACTGGCGGTTCATGCACCGAAACTGGCACGCTCCGTGCTGTACAAGATCTATCTGAACACTATGGAGAGCCACGAAGTGCGATGCATGGCTGTCTTCCTGCTGCCGATAACCAACCCTCCTTTGACCATGCTGCAACGTATGGCGGAATTCACGAACTACGACACCAACAAACAAGTCAACTCCGCGGTGAAATCCACCATAGAGACCCTAGCGGAGCTAACTGACCCTACATGGCTAGATCTGGCGAGGAGGGCTCGCTCTGTCATGAACATCATGAACAAGGAGGACTACAGTTATCAGTATTCCCATGGATTCATCTTCAGTGCCGTTCAGAAAGAACAGAACCTGATCAACACTGTGGTGATGAATTATATTGGCGGCGACAATGGTTTAACTCCTCGCGCTGTCTATCTGGAGTCCCTCATGAATTACGGTGGCTTCAAGACCCCATCCACGGAATTCATGGCTATGATCTCCGACGTACAGCCTTTGATCGAGGCTCTAACGATGACTACCGACAAACCCTCCTTCGAGAAGATGGCCACCGAGAAAATTGCGGAGCAACTGAAAATCGTTGCTGACAAGACTGTGGAAATGGAAGGAAACATCTTGTGGAGATCGAAGTTCCTGTCCAAATTTATACCTTTCGACAAAAACACTGTCCACAACGTGCGCAATCGTGAGTATCTGTTTTTTGTTATTTATTGCATATTTATTGGGTTTGGTTGTTATAATTATGTGTCCTTACAGAAATCACCAAGAACATGATGTCAATGAAAGACGGAGGCTACGTCAACCTGAACAAACTGATGTCTTACGATGTGACTCTAAGTTTCCCGACGGAAACCGGCCTACCATTCGTTTACACTTTAAGGGTGCCAGTGTTGAACAAACTGATCGGAACTGGACAAATGAAGATGGACCGTGAACGCAACGTGAACGTGCAATCGGAACTGAGGTTCACATACTCGAGGAAGATCCAAGGAATCATCGGTTTCGTGGCGCCGTTCGAGCACCAGCACTACATCGCCGGTGTAGACGCAAACATGCAGGTCTACTTGCCTCTGAAATTATCTCTGGAAGTAAACGTACCAAAAACCACCCTGCAGCTCAGGATTTGGCCACTGAAGGGCGAGGAGAAATCTCGTTTGCTACACTACAGCGTCGTGCCATATACTTCCATCCGCGACATCCTGAGTCTCCGACCTTTGCAGAAGGACAAGAACACACAGCTGGTGCACGTCAACAAGGATCTGAAGGGCAGCCAGTCCGACAAGCTCAAAGGAATCAGGGTAGAGCTGGAAGCCGATAGTTCGGACACCGAGTTCTGGAACATGGACATGGACAAACTCAGGAACATGTTCCCAATGTACCTTGGGGAAGACGTGTACCGCAAGGTGGACATCTTCATGAACCTGGATCGCGAGGTGAAAGAACCCTTGACTCTCCTCGTCTCTTACGGCACCATGGACGTGAAACCCGGCTCTGAGAATCTTCAGCAATGGACAGAATTTGCCAAAGCGGTTGAACCATCCAACAAGGAGGCCAACAGCGAGGACCGTAAGAAGCAGTTCCTGAAGGAAGCAGTCAAGGGTATCAAATTGGGCAAGTCGTGGGTGGTGGACCTTCAACTCCAAATCCCTGACGAAGACAGGAGCTCCAGCGCCATGACCCTCGCTTGGTCCACGAGCAACGCCGAGTCCAAGGGACGCATCCTGCTGTTCTGGAGATGCAACATCCCTAGCAAGGAAATCAAACACGAAGTGTGCGCAGCCTCTCAGTTCATGAACACCCCCGTAGTTTCGCTGTTCTTCGACAAAGTCATCAAGGCCGTACCCAAGACGGAGTTCGACATCGACATTCGTTACGGAAAAACTTGCGCCGACAACCAACAGATCAACGTCATAGGTAAGGCTACCCAGAGCAAGGAGATGAAGGACGAGATCATGAAGTCCGACGTGGTGAAGAACTGCGAGAAGCACCTGAACCACGAGAACAAGCTTCTCCGAGTCTGCCAGAAAGCTGCGGCCCTCGTCATGACGCTGGACGAGATGGACATCTCTGTAGACATCCGCTCGAAACCTCTGAGGGACCTCGTCGCCAAGAACATCCACCTGCCAAATCAGCTGGGATTAACCAACGCTAACGTGGACCTCACCAACCCTAAGAACGCTGGCAAAGACAAGATTGATCTCAAGATGAAATTGTGGAAGGACAAGTCTGGTCGCGTGGTCATTCACACACCAACCATGGACGTGTTGATGGACGACCTCGACCTGAGTTTCTTGGAAGATGATTCGGAAAGTCTCGTGGTTCCCTTCGAGATGGATAGCAACAACTTGAAAGCTGGAACGAATATACGTAGGTTCTTTATATTTTTATTTGATTGATGTTGTGGACCATGTGGTCTAGTGACCATGTAGTCTTGTAGTATCTCCTCTGGTATATTTTATTGCTGTTAACCTAATTCAACTGAAAGTATCGCTTAAGTCAGAGCATAGATGAAAACAGTCATTATTTTGAATGTGGAGGAATGTGACTAAGAGCTTCATTCTAACATTTTCAGCATCCTGTGTCATGGACCGCACCAGAGCCGAGACTTTCGACGGCAAGGAATTCCCCCTGACTTTGGGCAGCTGCTGGCGCGTGTTGATGACGACTTACCCTAAGGAGGACCCCAAGAAACCTGGCGAGAAGCTTACGATGTCCGAAGCTGACAGCGTGAGCATCCTCGCTCGAGAGACCAACGAAAAGAAGGAGGTGAAGGTGATACTCGGCAAGACGGAGATCAAGCTGGTGCCCACTGGCCAACTACCTGAGGTCATTGTGAACGGACAGAAGGTCCAAGTAACTCCCGAGCTTGGCCACCAAGTGCGACACGGTGACGAGGTTGCTTTCGAGATCTTCCAGTTTGGAGACCGTTCCATTGCCCTGGCGTCGGAGAAGTTCGACGTGAAGCTCGTTTTTGACGGAAAACGGATCATGATCAGGGTAAGTTCATCAGGGAAGGTTCAGGGAAGGTTCAATCACGAACTTGTTCAATCACGAAAATGTATTTACAGACATCCAACAAGTTCCGCGACTCCATTCGAGGTCTCTGCGGCAACTTCGACGGCGATCGGGCCAACGACTTCACGAGCCCCAAGAACTGCCTGTTGAGGAAACCCGAGGAGTTCATCGCAAGTTACACGCTCACCAAAGACCAGTGTGAAGGAGAGGACGTGCAGAAGATCAAGGAACTGCAGCAGGCTAACTGCGTACCACAGATGTCTGCCCGCACCAGCAACGTTATCAACGACATCGAATCCGGAAGGTCTAACGTTCTCGGCAGCAACTGGGGCTACCATCAAGACAAGCAGACCGACAACAAACGCTGCACCATACACAGGACGAAGGTCATCGAGAGGAACGGACAGCTCTGCTTCACGATTCGTCCGGTGATCTCTTGCTCGCCCACTTGCAACGCTACCGAGATGAAGACGAAGAACTACCAGTTCCATTGTACAGAAAAGAACGAGTGGTCTATGAAGCTGAAGCAGAGAGTAGAGAAGGGCGCGAACCCTGATCTTAGCCAGAAATCTATCTCCATGTCACAATCCATTGAGGTCCCTCTTGCGTGCGTGGCCTAAGCGCGTACCTGACAAAAATTATTTTGTTAACATTTCGTAGTTAGAGTAGTATATTATTTTGTATTTAGCAATCCGATGTATTAATAAAATTGATCGTTTTCAATAATTTTTGTGTTTCTTGTATGCTTGGGAGTTTGAGGTGTGATGGGGAGATTGAAGTTCTGGGGGTTTGGGGATTGGGGAGTTGTGGGTTTGGGAAATTGGGTGCTTGGGAAGTTGGGGGTTTGGGAGATTTGGAGATTGGAAACTGAGTGCTTGGAAAATTGGGTGCTTGGGAAATTAGGAGATTAGGAAATTGGGAGCTTGGGAAATTGAGTGCTTGGGAAATTGCGTACTAGGGAAATTGGGTGCTTGGGAAGTTGAGGGTTTGGGATATTGGGAGATTGGGAAATTGAGTGCTTGGGAAAGTCTTTTCAGCAACCTGCGTGATGGATCTTAACAGAGCCGAGACTTTCGACGGCAAAGAATTTCCCCTGAAGTTGAGCAGCTGCTGGCAGGTTCTAATGACCACATATCCCAGACTGAATCCCAGGAAGCCCAGCGAGAAACTCGCGATGTCGGAAGACGAAAGCGTGAGCATCCTCGCCCGAGAGATCAACGGACAGAAGGAAGTGAAGGTCATACTCGGCCAAAACGAGATTCTGCTACTGCCCGGCAGCGAGCTACCCGAGGTACTGGTGAACGGTCAGAAGGTCCCAGTTTCTGGTACAGTTACTCACCAAGTGCGACAGGATGACGAAGTCGTCTTCGAGATATTCCAACGTGGAAGTCACTATATTTCAGTGGTATCGGAGGAGTACGATGTGACACTCACTTACGATGGAAAACGCCTTATGATCGAGGTAAATATTCATTTATTTCGCCGACGTCATAACCGAGCATAACATTTACCGTATATTTACATTCACAGGAACCTGAGATGTTCAGCTACTCCCTTCGAGGACTTTGCGGCAATTACGACGGCGATTCAGAAACTGATTTCATGAGTCCTGATAATTGTCCGCTGACGAAACCCGAGGAGTTCATCGCCAGTTACACGCTCACCAAGGAGCAGTGCGAAGGAGAGAACCTGCAGAAGGTCAAGTTCTTGCAGAAGGCAGCGTGTGCAACGATCTCCAGGCGTTAGACGTTTTATCGAGCCTGCAACCTCGAGAAGGAAGATGACCAGAAAATTTTATCGCTTCCTCTTGTGTGACACCAAACAGCTACTTGTTTTAGTCGTAGTTCATTTAGCGCGTATGCATCTATAAAATTTGTAGATATTATTTTTGATAAATTCATCTTTTCTTCAAACTCACTTGTACTTAAGTACCTTCCTGTTAATCGATCACAGGGATGGATCGTGAATCGGACACTTCAAACGAAGCTGATTCAAATGATAGTCCATTTCCTTGATCTCTTTATAAAGACCCACATAAGGAATTCGCGATTCAATTTTTGAATCACACTTTTCTTTCATTTCCATGTTGCACGAGTTCGTCAAATATTTTTCGTGTACCGCTGCCTCCAGATTTAACTGATTCTGTTTGTGTAGATGTTTGTCGTTTTCCTCGTACGGTCGACCTGAAAGTTTATTTGGAAATAAAAGCGGATTCACAGGTTTCGTAGAAATGTACTTCTAGAGATTGGCGTGATTCCAACTTTGATGCGTCTTTCGATCTCTCGAATTTCCCTTTCGCATCGTTCGTAGTAGGTCCCTCGCAGGAATAGCGATGGCTTGGGGTCGATTTGACAATCACGGCAGGTTTGGGTCTTTCTTTCTCCGCAGCGTCTGTATTCGAAACACTTCATCATTTCTTCGATGTATGTGAAGCATGTTTTGTCGATTCTGGTGATCACGCCTGAACGTTGGTGCGTTCTTAATAAATGGTGTAGCTGTAATAATCTTTAAAATTAGGGCAGAATACAAAAATTTAATACTTAAATACAAGGACATTTAATTAGGACATTAAGACAAAAAGAAGATCTGATAAAATAGAAGGACTTGAAGACTTGATACAAAAATGATAACAAAAAGAATGAAATATACATAAGTCCACTTAAAACATGTATAAATTTTGCAATAACAAAGCCATCATATATCGTGACAAGGGTAAGACTGAGTTTTAGAAATATTACTAATGATGGTTGCAATCATGGTTATGTTATTAAAAATAATTCAACAATCTCTATTATCATTGCAATTTTGGGACAATAGTAACAAGATACTTCAATGAAGTAAAAATTGTTAAGAACATCAAAAGTGTAAACTCTACTTTGAACAGGATGAACTGAATCCACTGCATAGGTTCATACTCCATGATCCCTTCCCAATACTTGAGCACATCCTGTCTGAACCTGAAACCTGAAAAATAGATAGAACAATCGTATTTCCCAAGAAGAACCGATATAAACTTTCTCATATTTTCCACGGTCTCTTGATTCCTGAAGTAAACATTTTGCAACCGTTACATTTTCGGAATATCGAGCACCGTCTATCTGACCCAGTAACCCCGCCACATCGCGTAAACTCTCGCCGCCATTTGATCGTAATAATTATGTAACATCTCATGTACACGTTCGATCAGGTACAAATCAACGACGATCCTGGTTCTATGACCTCTCCAATGCCGTTGAATGATGGTCGCGCTTTTGTGTAGCAGTCTGAAATGGTTGCGTGAGAGGATCCCACGCATCTAAACCCGAAGCGACCCAACAAAGTCCAATTAGCTGAATTCATGGTTGAATACGCGTCGCAAAAATTGCTGCGTGAAATTCTTCCAAATTTGCATGTAAAAATTTCAGGAACAAAAATTAGGTACTGCTCAAAATTTGAGGCTATTTCAAGCTCATGTGCATACATAAGTAGGATTTTTCTTGTATTAGTCTTCGAATAAAATACGTTACGATACAAACATGTTATTTATTCAACATGCTCTGGTAACAACGACAAATTTGTATAGTGGACTATTGTTCACGGGGTTATCGGGGTTGCGCTTTTGACCAAATTCTTTGCAGACTGGAGCAAGTGTTAACCTGTACGCGATGTAATTTTCACTTCTTGTTTTATTAAAACGTGACCTATGTTTGTAACCAATGACGTGATCTTTGAATTCTGTTCTGAATTTATGGAAATAGAAATACGAGGAAAAGTCAGCATTTTTATCTTCAGACATGTGAGACTGTGGTCTCATGTGTGGCCTTATGTCTCTCGAGTGAAAGCTTGTGACCAGACTTTGCTATTTTCTTTCCAGAGATGTGCTTTGAATACGTGTTAAAACGTTAACGAGTGAAATGAATGAAAGTGTTCAATGTTTTTTTAGAACGGTAAAAACGAAAGTAGGGGAATAGACTTTATCATCGGCTATCAAAGAAACTACTGCGTATGAGGAAAACCAAGAATTATATGTTTTCAACGATTATATGACTTCTGAGAATTTTTCTCCGTTAATTATTCATTCCGCCGAATTAATACAACGTGAGGGCATATATATGCTCTAAGTCGACCGGACGTATCACTTTTCGACGAGCTGCGGTCAAAAATGTGGCTGCCTTTGACACTCTTGGTGCTTGGTAAATTCAAATTTGATGAAATAATTTTGTAAACGTCTTTTAAACAATTATTGGTGATGTGTTGGGTAAACGAGCTACTGTTCGAATTTGGTGCATTTCAAATTCCATATAAGCGAAATTAGATGTTCCTCAAATTCTTTGTAATTCTTGTTTTATGATGTTGTTAAATCTGCCACGATGTGGTTTGACATTACTCAAATTCGACGCGATTTAAATTCGATGCAATTCAAATTCCACGTGGTGCGATTTTTACATAGTGCAAATTTTATGTGGTACCAATTCGACATAGTTCAAATTTGATGTGGTACCAATTCGACATAGTTCAAATTTGATGTGGTACCAATTCGACATAGTTCAAATTTGATGTGGTACCAATTCGACATAGTTCAAATTTGATGTGGTACCAATTCGACATAGTTCAAATTTGATGTGGTACCAATTCGACATAGTTCAAATTTGATGTGGTACCAATTCGACATAGTTCAAATTTGATGTGGTACCAATTCGACATAGTTCAAATTTGATGTGGTACCAATTCGACATAGTTCAAATTTGATGTGGTACCAATTCTACATAGTGCAAATTTTATGTGGTACCAATTCGACATAGTTCAAATTTGATGTGGTACCAATTCGACATAGTTCAAATTCAATGTGGTACCAATTCGACATAATTCAAATTCGACGTGTCACTAATTCGACATAGTCGAAATTCGAAGTGATAAGAATCCAACGTAATTCCTCGCTATGTACCTTTACATAACACATTTCAATTTGACTTGACATACACCTAGTCTAATATCACCACCCGAAAGTAACAGCGTTCCGACTCCCTGCCTAATCCTTCGATACTACGATTTACTTACTTACTTTCGATACTATGATTTACTTACTCTACTTCCTTACACACTAAATTTACCGAAGATTCGTATATTCACAGCGGGAGTGGTATCCGCCGAAAGCAACTATGGCTGGAAGGTCGGCAACGAGTACAGCTATGTGGTACAAAGTCGCACGTTCACAACTTTGGACGAGTTCCCCGAAGAGTATGCGGGTATCATGATGAGAGGATACCTTACGGTGCAAGCTAAAGACGAGGGCAAGCTAACCGCGAAACTAACAAAGGGTCACTACGCTCACGTCAACGGCTACCTGCCCATGGGCTGGGACGAGGACATCCCCAACCAACAGTTGGTGCCCCATGACATACCCATATCTGAAAAGCCCTTCGATATTAAGTTGATGGACGGCGTGATCGATTCTGTAATCGTGGAGGAAGATGTTCCCAACTGGGAGGTGGTACTACTCAAGAGTATCATCAGCCAGTTCCAGGTGGACATCAAGGGCAATAAAATTGTGGAAGGACACGATGTCAAGGTTCCGGATGAGAATGACCCTCGGGGAGGGTTCACGGTATTGGAAGACTACTTCGCTGGTTTGAACGAAGTTCGTTACGACTTCAAACCGCTGTCGGAACAGCAGTTTCGAACTAGGCCGGAATTGGTGCCGAAACCTGAACTGAAGGGCTCAGGACAACACATTGACATCGTCAAGACGAAGAGATATGACAGGTATCCGGAAATGTCGGAGAAGGTGTTGGGCATGACGCGGCAGATGAAGAAGGAACCTAAAACTAACAAGAACCTCATGTCGGTGAGTAGCTATGTCCCAAGTATAGTGTCCTAAATTGAATACATGTATGACATATCACAAAATAAGAATAAATCGCGTAATCTTTCCACAGCCTAAGCAATTTATGTTTATTCTGTACATGCATAAATATGAGTGATACATGCGTAAACCGCAGTGATAATCGAATCTCGAAAATTCTGTTGCAGAAATCTTCCATCAGTAGAATCGTCATCTCAGGTAGCCTGAAGGATTTCGTTGTCCAGTCGGCGGTGTCTACCAGTAAGATGACCATCACTCCCTCGTTCAATGACGCGCAGAACAGCACAGTGCTCAGCAAACTGAGCCTAACTCTGGAGGACATGCACGAGATCAAGACTCCAATGCCTTCGCCAACGAAACCCAAATCCACCGGCTACCGCATCTCTTTTGAAACCACCCCGTCCTCTCTGGAAGATCCACCAAAGCATCCTGTCTGGCCTAACATCATCGATTACGGAGGCAAATTCATTCGCCACTTTCGTGAGTTTAACGGTTTAGCTGCAGTCAGGGATTTACTCCACCGAATTTCAAACGAACTGGTGGATCCGAATACGATTCCTGAGCAACAGACACTAGACAAGTTCACCCATCTCGTCAACATAATCCGCACCATGAACAGGAATCAAATAGCGGAAGCTGAGAACAAATTGCAGATCTCGCCCAAGAAGCTCAAGTGGGGCGACAAGGCTGACGCCATTAGGCAAAACCGTTGGTTCGTTTTTAGGGATGCTATCACTCAAGCTGGGACTGGACCTGCTTTGTTGACCATCAAAAATTGGGTCGAGAACGGGGAATTGAGGAGCGCAGAGGCTGCTGAAATGCTGTCCAAAATCCCGGCGTCTGCTCGGCAAATTACACACCAATACACCGAGGCGTTCTTCGTAAGTGCTATCAATGTTGACGAGACCTGACAAATATAAAGAAATCTGTGAGATCCTTATTACATAAGTTGTGAATGCATAAACAGCATATAATTCACTCGCAGTCTACATATCGTGTTATCATCATTTTTTTTAAAGGACAGTTTGAATTATATATGTATAAATGATAAATTATATATATATTCTATAACAAAAGAAGAAAAGATATTAGACCGTTTTCACATATCATTTTGTCTAAATATTTGTCTACAATCATATAAACGTACAGGTTGGGTGAGAATCCTCAGATAATTTGCCTCCCATAATCATGAAACTTTTGTTTAAAAGACCTATATCTTTGATGATATTTCGAAAATACTTTCAGTAAAATAAGACACCTATTATAGTAAAAATCGAATTCTTCAGGAACTGGCCACCAATCCACAAGTCACGCAAACGGCACTCCTAAACGTCACAGCGATAACGGCGTTCTCTGAACTGTTGTTCCTGTCTCAAGGAAATGATAAGAGCATCTACAAATTCTATCCCGTGCACACAACGAGTCGTCCCTCCGACGAACAATACTCAGATATCGTCAATAAGTACATCCCATATTTGGGGGTGCAATTAAAGAAGGCCGTGGATGATGACGACAGCGCAAGGATCCAAACCTACATCGTTGCTCTAGGTACCATCGGCATGTACGAGGTGCTCCCCGTCTTCGAGCCTTTCCTGACAGGCAGGGAGAAAATGACAGCCTTCCAGAAGACGTTAATTCTCGCCAGTTTGAGTAACTTTGTCGCGAATCATCCGAAGAAGGCACTGCCGGGCTTGAAACAGATCTACATGAACACGACGGAGAGTCAGGAGGTGCGTTGCATGGCCGTCTTCCTGATTCCAATGACGAATCCTCCTCTCGAGGTGCTGCGTGAAATCGTGCAGTTCAGCAACAACGAAAGCAGCAAACAGGTCAAGTCCGCGGTGAAGTCCACCCTTCATAGCCTGGAATATTTACCTGACCCAGAATGGCAATCCCTGGCGAAGAATGCTCGGGCTGCGTTGAAGTTATTGGACAGCAAGGATTACGACCTGCTGAAATCCCACGAATTCATCTTTAACAAGATGAAAGAAGGGAACCTTGTCACTGACACTCTTCTTAATTACATCGGCAGCGACAATAGCCCGATCCCTCGTACCATCTACCTTGCGTCGATCCTTTATGATGGCAACTTCAAAGGATCCCCTGTAGAACTTATGACTATGATTCCCAACATGGAATCTCTTATTGACGCTCTGATACCCTCCGACAAACGGTCTCTCGTGAAAACGGCCACCGAGAAGATTGCCGAGGAACTGAATATCGTGGGCGATAGACCTGTCTTGCTGGAAGGAAATTTCTTGTGGAGGACGAAGTTCCTATCGCGTTTCATTCCTTATGACAAGAACACTGTTCGCAACCTCCCTAACAGTGAGTTGTTTGTAACCACAGATCTAACATTACATGTTCTTGATGAAACAACTCGAATTTCACAATTACTTTCCAATTTCTGACAAAATTACGATTGTCATAATAATACGTTCTAACTTTTACAGAGATCGTCGAGCACCTGACAGCCAGGAAAGACGGAGCCTTCCACAACACGCACATACTGAATTTGCACGAGATGATGATAGGTGACACGACCGATACTGGTCTGCCATTCGTGTACAGTTTACGCGAATGCACTTTGCACAAGCTGAGTTCGACAGATAATTACAAAACGGGTCGCTTCGAGTCCGACTTCCAATTCGCGACGGTTCAAAAAACGCAGAGGAATATAGGTTTCGTAACGCCGTTCGATCATCGCTATTTCGTTGCCGGTGTAGACAAGCACACGCAGGTTTACCTTCCCCTGAAGGTCTCTGTGGAGGTCAGTGCTCCGAAGAAGAGCGTACAGCTGAAGATTTGGCCACCGAAGAGCGACAAGCCTAACACGGTGCTGCAATGCGTGCGGACACCGTACACTTCGATCCATAACGTCATGGATTTACAGCCATTGCTGGAGGAATCGTCCTTTGACACACGACGTTTATATAACTTCGAAGTAAGACGTGACAGTCAGCCTATACCGGATACGATATTCAGGATGGAGGTAGAAGCCTCCGAGAATGCTTGGGACAAGGATGTTGTAGGGAACTGCTTGTGGACCATGTTCACAATGCAGGACGAACAAAGCGAATACCACAGGGTGGCCGTAATCGTGGATGAGAGACAGAGCCGTGGGTTTTGAGTGCCTCTTACGGTACCTTGGATGTGGAAGCTGGCACCGAAGATGCTAGCCAATGGACACACTTTGTCAACGCGACGGAAGCATTCAGCGAGAATCGAGACAGCGAACAGCGTAAGATGCGATTCCTGGAGGAAGCAGCCAAAGGCATCGTGTTAGCCCAGGCGGGAGTGCTGGACTTCCATGTCCACATCCCTCTCACAAAAGAAGAGGTGAAGATCAACCTAACCACTGCTTGGTCAGCGAGCAACGCCGAAACCAAAGGACGATTTCTTTCCCACTTGACCATCATGAACCAAATAGACGAAGTCGAGTTCGAAGTATGCGCAGCGTCACAGTTAGCGCTTACACCATCTTACTTCCCAGTTTACGACGAAGTTAACAACTCCACGCCCAAGATCGAATTTGACATAGACCTTCGACATGGGGAGAATTGTCAAGGGGATAATCGCGTGAACATCATGGGCACCGGTACTCGAAGCAACGAGCTGAAGGAAGAGATCAACGATATCAGTGTAGTGAAGGAATGCAAGAAGCAGATGGAGCAAGGGAACAAACTCCTCCGGGCGTGCCAGAAGGCCGGAGACAAGGCTCTGCAGGTGGACGAATTACAACTCTCCTTGCAGAGCGGTTGCCGAAGAACACAGAGGGATATGGAATACTTCTTTTCTGGTTTGTTTTCTTCGGGCATTATCGTTCGTACCGTAGCCGATTTGCAGCCTAAAGTCATAGACGAAGGCAAGATCAACCTGACGGCAAAGATTTCGAAGAATATGAAGTCTGCAAACTTCAGTGTGCAGTCGCCGAACATAAACATGCAGATGAATGATGTCAACTTGGATTATTTTGAAGATAGCTCCGAGGAAAAGGAGGATGAAGTCGACAACAGCTGGCTGATGGACGACGATGTGTGTAAGTATTGCGAATGTATTATGTGAACAAATGGATTTTAAGCATTTAGAGAAATATTCTTTTTATCAAGAGTGTCGGGGTCTGTACATTTAGAGATAAATTTTGCGATCTAAAGATTTGATCCGAGGATTTGGGTACAAACGTATTTAGAGATTCAAGGACTTGTGATGTTTATCGTACGGTCTTTTCAGCAACCTGCGTGATGGATCTTAACAGAGCCGAGACTTTCGACGGCAAAGAATTTCCCCTGGAGTTGAGCAGCTGCTGGCAGGTTCTGATGACCACATATCCCAAACTGAATCCCAAGAAACCCAGCGAGCAGCTCGCGATGTCGGAAGACGAAAGCGTGAGCATTCTCGCTCGAGAGATCAACGGACAGAAGGAAGTGAAGGTCATACTCGGCCAAAACGAGATTCTGCTACTGCCCGGCAGCGAGCTACCCGAGGTACTGGTGAACGGTCAGAAGGTCCCAGTTTCTGGTACAGTTACTCACCAAGTGCGACAGGATGACGAAGTCGTCTTCGAGATATTCCAACGTGGAAGTCACTATATTTCAGTGGTATCGGAGGAGTACGATGTGACACTCACTTACGATGGAAAACGCCTTATGATCGAGGTAAATATTCCTTTATTTCGCCGACGTCATAACCGAGCATAACGTTCACCGTATATTTACATTCACAGGAATCTGAGATGTTCAGCTACTCCCTTCGAGGACTTTGCGGCAATTACGACGGCGATTCAGAAAATGATTTCACGAGTCCTGGTAATTGTCTGCTGACGAAACCCGAGGAGTTCATCGCCAGTTACACGCTCACCAAGGAGCAGTGCGAAGGAGAGAGCCTGCAGAAGGTCAAGTCCTTGCAGAAGCCAGCGTGTGCAACGATCTCCAGGCGTTAGACGTTTTATCGACCCTGCAAACTCGAGAAGGAAGATGACCAGAAAATTTTATCGGTTCATCTTATGTGACACCAAAGATCTACTTGTTTTAATTCTAGTTTATATAGCGCGTAACGTGTATCTATAAAATTTGTAAATATTATTTTTGATTATTTCGTCTTTTCTTCAAGTTCACTTGCACTTACTTTCCTGTTAATCGATCACAGGGATGGATCATGAATCGGACACTTCAAACGAAGCTGATTCAAATGACAGTCCATTTCCTTGATCTCTTTATAAAGATCCACACAAGGAATTCGCGATTCAATTTTTGAATCACACTTTTCTTTCATTTCCAAGTTGCACGAGTTCGTCAAATATTTTTCGTGTATCGCTGTCTCTGTTTGTGTCGATGCTTGTCGTTTTCCTCGTACGGTCGACCTGAAAGTTTAATTGGAAATCAGAACGGATTTTCAATTTTTCTGGAAATGTACTTCTAAAGATTGGCGTGATTCCAACTTTGATGCGTCTTTCGATCTCTCGAATTTCCCTTTCGCATCGTTCGTAGTAGGTCCCTCGCAGGAGTAGCGATGGCTTGGGGTCGATTTGACAGTCACGGCAGGTTTGGGTCTTTCTTTCTCCGCAGCGTCTGTATTCGAAACACTTCATCATCTCCTCGATGTATGTGAAGCATGTTTTGTCAATTTTGGTGATCACGCCTGGATGTTGGTGTGTTCTTAACAAATGGTGCAGCTGTAATAATCTTTAAAATTAGGGCAAAATACAATAATTTGATACTTAAGTACAAGGATATTTAATTAGAACATTAGAACAAAAAGAAGATCTGATAAAAAAGAAGGACCAGAAAACTTCATACAAAAAATGATAACAAAAAGAATGAAATATAAGTTTCCTTAAAACATGTACTGAAATAACAAAGCTATCATATACCATGACAAGGGTAAGACTGAGTTTTAGAAATATTACTAATGATGGTTGCAATCATGGTTATGTTTTTAAAAATAATTCAACAATCTCTGTTATCATTGCAATTTTGGGACAATAGTAACAAGATCCTTCAATGAAGTAAAAATTGTTAAGAACATCAAAAGTGTAAACTCTACTTTGAAGAGGATGAACAGAATCCACTGCATAGATTCATACTCCATGACCCCTTCCCTATACTTGAGCACATCCTGCCTAAAACTGAAAGCTGATAGGTACAGCAATCATATTCCCCAAGAAGAACCGATACAAACTTCTCATATTTTCCACGGTCTCTTGATTCCAGAAGTAAACATTTTGCAACAATTACATTTTCGGAATATCGAATACCGTCTACCTGACCCAGTAACCCCGCCACATCGCGTGCACTCTCGCCGCCATTTGATCGTAATAATTATGCCACATCTCATGAACGCGTTCGATCAGGTACAGACCAAAGGCGATTCTGGTTTTATGACTTCTCCAATGGTGTTGAATGATGGTCGCGTTTTTGTGTAGCAGTCTGAAATGGTTTCGGGTGAGGATCCCACGCATCCAAGCCCGTAGCGACCCAACAGAGTCCAGTTGGTTGAATTCACGGTTGAATACGCGTCGCAAAAATTGCTGCGTGAATTTCTCCCAAATATGCATGTGTAACGTCCCTGGAATCTAAGTTCAGATAGTTACAAGCGCTAAAAGGTAAAGAGCGGCTTTTACCCCTAAACGACTCGATTTTACAAATAAAGATTGTGAGATTCGTGTGCTGTGCGGTTAAGGAGTGAAATCCACAGGTCAAAATCTTTCAACAATTAGATTTATTCAATAAAACGATAAGAAAATGAAACTAACAATTAACAATAACAACAAATAAAGAAAAGTATAGAAATTATAAATGATTAATTAGAATAGAGAAACTAAATAGATCTTGATATAATAATAATAATAGAATTTGATAAATTAAACAATATGTAATTGATAATTGTGAATTTAACGATATGAAACTCGCTATTTAATACTTTATATTGGACCGTATCTGAATCGGGTCTCTGATAAAGCAAACTTCGCATTCGCAATATTAACTAAATTTGATGTTCGATTTTTGTGTTCGACGCTATCACAATGACAAGATTTTACCTGATTAACACATTTATAAGTTATAATGAATCCTACCTAAGTGTAATTCGATT